ATGTCTTAAGGATATCAGAGCAGGGCTGGCTCTGAAGATTTTATATCATCGCCTCGATGTCCACCTTTGTTGCAGTGTTTGTGTCCCGTATTAACGACGTCACGCTCGGCCGCATTGCTATGACGACGGCCACGGACATTAGGTAGTACTCGATTGTAACGCAAAATCTGTCACCCCGAGTCGAGTCGAGGCAAGTCGATCTGAGCAGGTGCTAATGAAAAAGGGACTTGACTAGATTTAGTAGCAGCACTGTGACGGGTCTAACCTCTGGAGTCATGACGTAACATCTGCAGGACAGGCTCTGTTCCCAGCAATCAGGGCGCTGCGTGAGTCTCTCACAAACAGTGAGGATGAGGGTTTATCCTGCTGAAGAGAGCATGTTCACAGATCACAGGTGTGTGTGTGTGTGTGTGTGTGTGTGTGTGTGAGTGAGTCCAGGTGGGCGGCGGCGAGTAAGCACAGACTCCGGGTGGGCTTTTCCCTCAGGTGGTTGTTTTATTATAAAAGTTGAAGTTTCTACTCTGACAGTGAACGAAGAACAAAAACGTCCACAACATAAAAACAACATGATGCTGAAGGGGCGGGGGTTTCCATGGTAACACACAGGAGGGGTGGAGGGTGCAGGGGTAACCATGGTAACAGTGAGAGGAGGGGGGGTTACTGTACTGTCCTCTGCTGTGGGACAGTTTAACATCTGATGACCTCACACACACACGTTACTGTAAAGACACACACACCCTGTTCTCACACACACAGTGACACACACACTCTCTCTGTGGTCGGGTGTGTGTGTTTCAGAGCACTCCGCCTCCCTCTGTGTCACCAGCACCGACACTCAGTCACATGACTCCTGTGGTCATGTGACCTGTGAGCCAGGCTGAGGCTGTTTAAATAAACGTCTGTACCCAGGTGATGCTGTCAGACTCACCTGATGGAGTCATGTGATCTATACAGAAGCAGCTGTTAACCTCTGACCTCTTCTTCTTTTGTCCCTGCCATCAGCTGCAGCAGGAAGTGTTAGTCACTTCCTGTCAGGTGGAACCTTGTTTCTATCAGAGGGGGACGGTGTTTAGAAACACACCCTAACAGAGGAACAGGAAGTCTCTGAAACGTAGACACACCTGCTGTGAGGCTCCGCCCCCTGA